GTTTAGCAGCAACTACTGTATGTGGCATCACAGAAACCTAAGTGTTACTGCACTCTCTGGACTCAATAACATTCTAGAATTACACCAAGAGGATCCTGACAAAATATATTTTCCCCAAAAGCATGAAACAATTTTTGTTCTGAATACCTCAGAATGAGGCTAAAGAAAAGATTCGCTTCATAAATGTATGTTTCTTTCAATTTCCATTTGTGGAGGGGAAAATGATCAAAGAATTTCAGCACATTGCCTTCTAGCAAGAAATTTTTACTTTATTCACACTGAAGCAATTGGATAACTTGCATGGGATATTCCCTGCAACTCTCTAACACAAATAGCTTTCTAAGGGCTAGATCCCACAATGCTTGATAACATTTTTGGAAGTGGTTCCAGTCTCCTCCATGATGATGCACACCATCCTGTTTCTAGATTGCAACCAAACAATTAAAGCTCTCTTCCTGAGCCACTGCATGGCTGACCTATTTTCTATATGGACTTAGCTGAAACAATCAATGGGCATAGCCATGCGTAAAGTGCAAGGCATAGCCAAACTGTCCCAAGGGAGGGTTTTAGACAGCTCTATGCAAGTCTCCAGGCGTTTTTCCCCTTTCCTTAGGGCAGAGAAAAAGCTGCCTTGTCACTCAAGCAGGGACAGCACAGCATTCTGTTCACGTTCAGGCAGATACATATGCACAGGAGGTACAGACAGGGGGTCTCATGAAAGAAATACCCTCCCAGAAATAACACGTAAGGTCACAGCTTGGTTGTCATCTAGGCTTAGTGTTCTGCCTGTAAGTAATTAGCCTACTGTTGCTGACTTGCACGAGAAGGGGGCTCGTTTGAGTACTTCTACTAGCAGGGCACCATTCTCTTGGAACAGCTGCTTCTAGTGTGAATATGCAAGAAGAAAATCAATTCACAAATTGACTTTAAGTAATACAAAGGAACTAATTTAAAGAGTCAGAGCAGTAAAATCAAGAATAATGGCTACCACAATACTGCTAAGTTCAAGCAGCAGTGAGGGTCTGAACCGTGGAAGTGGGCATTTGAACCAAATGAGAATGTCAGTTAAAATACATCACAATTAAATCTGAAAGCAGTAATACTCTTAGCAAGGGCATGATTCCACTTAACAAAACTACCATGTATTAGGAAATATGAATGAAAAATAAGTGGAAGTGAATATCCCAAAATACTGTGCTCTGGTAGGGTGAGATTTGCTTTAAGACTGTGGAAGCCCTAAAGCTCATATATGTGCTTGGGTTCTGAATCAATGAACAGGACGTGATGAGGACTCTCTGTGGTGACGTAAAATTAATCCCTAGAGAATATATTTGCTCTAACTTAGGTCATGAAGCAGCAGAACAACTGAGAGCAGAGAAACCTGCATTCCTATGAAAAGGGAGTGGATGTCAGCTTGCTCCAGACTCCACATCTCCAAAAATAAGTAATTATCCTGTGTGGTAAGATACAAGCTATAAACGAGGAGCCAAAATGACATGGAAACACTAGCATTGACCTACGACTGGTATCACCTGAGTAGGACAACCAAAAAAGTGGAAGAACAGCATATTACTAAAGGAGCAGCAATCAATAACTATATTACAAAAGGCTTCATTAGAGACATTTATATAGTCTTTTCAATTGTAATATAGCAGGTGAATTTATAAGCAAAAACCTTAAAAAAATTTGCTGTTTCTAGCAAATTTTGCTGCCTTTATTACAAAAAGTGTAATAAAAAGTGTTGTTTATGCCATAGCTAGAAGCCCTAGTCAATTGAAGCATGTGCTTAAATCCTATTGTAATTTTAATATTAAATAGATACTAACATTCTGCCCTGAGCAGTAGTGCTTTCTTGAAAAAAGACCTATGCCCTGAACTGACGTAAAAAAACCCCAGCTGTTTCGTGATAAACTTGAATCTCTACTCGTCGTACAACTATTCATGCGAGACGTGCTGAATATACATCATACATATTACAACCATGTCTCAGATGCTGAAAACATGCTAAAAAGAATACTCAAAGTAATGCCAAATGTGAGATCTGGCCTAATTTAAATTTCAAATGCTAAAAATTTTAATTGCAATGCTAAACATCTACATAAATGCAGTAAATTTTAATAAACACATAGACAGTAAAGATCTTCAGAAAGTAAATAGTAAAAAATGTGCAAGGAATTCCAACAAAGAAACCCTAATGGCAGCTCTCCAATGGCTCAAATTTCATATGCTAATAAAATGTGCAAACTGAGACGTAATGATTTCTAAACATTACAATAAAATTCCTTAAAGCATGTCCTGTAGTTTCCAATAAATATTTTAAAATATTTCTTTTTACCTATACCGAACTTTTCTTAAATGAGTAAGTTTTACGAAAAAAAAATGAAACTTCTTGCTTGTCTACAAAGTAGATACAGAATACAGCCAATACCTTCTAATACATATTTCCTTGTGGATAATTTAGAATGTTGCATCTGCTTCCTTAGTTAACTGAGGTGCTTGATTTTGAGTTTCTGGGGTTTTTTAAGTAAGATACAATTTATAACATCTTTTGTTGAACAACTCATTTCGGTTAAAAGGAAAACAACTGTATTTGCTAAAAACTCTACCTTGGCTTTTTGGATTTCTTATTTTGAGTCTCGGTATTTTCTTTTGAGAATTTCAAACAGATGGCATTCATATTCATAGTAGCTGTGATACTTTATCTTTTATGGCACGACAAAACGAGGTTTTGACTGCTACTGATATTTGGCATATTAGATTTTATTATCGACTCTTACTTATGCTTTCACTGTGGGATCTGTTTTGAAACAGACTGTCATAGAAGGCTAAAGACAGATTTTTTTAAAGAAAGCATTAATCAGTATAAGAGAAATATATATGACTTTAGTCCTTATTTTTATGGACACTGACTTCTCATTTTTAATGGTTCATTAAAAACTTGAATAATTTAAGTGAGTACTCAGCAAGTGAACAAGTGGGAGAAGGGATGGTGAGACATTTTATTGATGTCAAAAAAGGGTAAAAAAACCCCACTGTAGAACTAACTTCCTTACCTTCTCCTCTGATGTTCACCTCACGGTCTTGCACTGTCATAACTCAAAATAGCTGCAGACTACATAATTCCACAGGAAAAAAAATGCAATCAAGAAATCTCTATGTGCTTCCCTTCTTTCCCCCTCCATACTTTTCCTCCCTGCTTTAGAGCAGCATGATTTCAGCAAATGCATTTCTCTTTTGAGAACGGGGAGCATAAAGTTCTTGTATCATGGCTACAGTATTCCTCATTTAAGGTTCTTGCTACTGGCAAAGCAAAGAGAACAGTCATCAGAGCTGCAGAATGTATGACCATATGTAGCACCCCAGAGCAACACAGTCCAAGCAAGAAACTTCTCTACAATTAAGAGAACATTTGTAACACATTCACACACATTCTCCAGTCGTTTAACTTGCTTATTTTCTCTGACTAATTGTGTAAAATAGTCTGTTACTGGAATCTCTTCCCAGCACAGGCTGTCACCACCTTTTGTTCCTGACCCTAGAAAAGCAGTAGACCCATTTATATGATTTAAAGTGTATGACTCCTTGCGACTACTTTCTGTAGTTTGGAAACAAATCATCTTAATTCTAACTATAAGAAAAGGGAGTGGCACCATTGGGAGTTTTGTCTTAGAAAAAACCCTAAGATTAGACCATTTCCAAATAAGTATAACACTTCGTTCTATTCATAGAAATATAATTAAACTCTTACACTTGTTATGAAAAATTCCTCTGTTACATTTTTCTGTAGCTCTGTATTCCGAGACTTCATAATGGAAAATCTGAGTGAATAAAATTTCCTTTTTCCTACTAGTATTCCAACTAGCAAATGTCTTACCATTTCTTTTTAGGCCAACCCACATGCAGCACAGTGTAACCTGTAGTCCAGTGAAAGTGAGTAGCCCAAATACAGCATTACAGATACACTGCATCCTTGCTTAGGACTTTTCCTTGTTAATTCATCCTTCAAATTTAGAAAGCCATCTTACTACATCCAAAGAATAAGTTGCCAGCTCTGAAAACAGAGCCATTTTAGAAGCAGCATTAGATCAAGCTTGAGAGAGGACGTAAGATGTATAAAAGCACTCCTTTACACGTGAGAGAAAAACTTTTCAAGTGTCTAATGATTATAGATAGTGATGATTTTATAAAGGGACTACTAGGCCTAGGCTAGTAATGGTCGTTGAACTTTAGCCACAGAAACAATCCTACTCACTCAGAAAAAGAATTACGAGTCTAAAATTTTGAAAAATAGAAATAATAGGGGCGCTAAGAGTCTTTGAAAAACTGTTAATCATAATGAATGCAACACAGTTTGGGGGTTCATTTATTCTTCCTAGGGAAAAAAAATGGAATAGCAAATGCAAAAATGAAGTTATTGTTAGAACATCAGGTATGTGATGAAATACCAGGTTTGTGTCTAATTCGTGAGCTCCAATCATATGAATTACTCTGAAAACCAGACAAGAAACCTTACCTAAGCTTAACGCAGTAACACCAGCCTGAATGGGTTCAATTAGCTTGACGGGCATCAGTAGTTCGCGAATTCTTAGAAAGCCTCACAAAGCACAAAGGCCGCCGGGGTACCCCTCGCGGCCGGAGCCTTCACCGAGCTCCTCGGGCGCTTCCAGCCCCTAATCCACGCAGATTTCGCCTACAACCATATTTGGCTCGGGGCACGGTGCAAGCGGGGCTCGGGATGCAGAGGGGAGAGGGGCTTCCCGCCAGCCCCCGCCCGATCCCGGGGCTCAGACCCGACCACGGCCGGGGGAGAGACTCAGACCCAGACCCAGATCCAGACCCGGCCCCGGGAGCCCCGCGGGCGCGGGGGCGCCCCGTCCCAGCGCTGTCCAGGGTCCCCGCCGCCCCGCTCCGCCGCGCTCCGCGCCCCGGGCGAGGCTCCCTCGCTCCCTCGCTCCCTCGCTCCCTCACTCTCTCCCTCACTCCCTCACTCACTCACTCACCATGTCGCGGGGGTGCCGCGGCCGCGCAACCCCACCGAGGGGCTCTGGGCAGGCGCCGCTGCCGCTCCCCGGCGCCGCCAAGGTGTATTTGGGGAGCGGGCGCGGCGGCGGAGGGGCCCGGCGGGAGGGGCCTCCCCGCGGGCCCAATCAGGGCGGCGGCGGGGCGGGGGCGGTGGCCGGGGGGCGGTGCGATGGCCGCGGGCCGGGTTGGGCAGGGCTGGGGGAGCCGCGCCCGCCCCGCCGAGCGCCGCCGCAGCGCTGCCCGGAGGTGCGGGGCTCCTGCGGGGCTGCGGGCACGGCACCGACACCCCCGAGGTGTCCCGGGAGTGCCCCGCCGTCGTGCGGCACCGCGCGGGTTTAGATGTCGAGAAATGTCATTTTGCGCAGAGTCGGGAGCTTTAGTCAGCGGCTTCCGCACGAGTAGGAACCAGTGTCACCGGCGTGGCAAGGCGCTGTGGTTACTGATGTCTTTTCCACTCCACATACTCTTCAGTCTAAGGACCGTGTGCTGCCATATTTGTTTTATTTGCACTCTCTCTGCCGCGGCTTGGATTTACTTGCTGCCAATGATATTCTGTGCAATCTCACAGAATATATATATATTTTTTTACTGTAGCCTTGGGGTGCAACGGTTAAAACCAATGGCTAAACAGTGACAGAGGGGAATCAACACCTTTCCAGATAAGCACAGAAAACAAGAATCATTTAAACAACTTTGGCATGTCAGGTAGCCAAGTTCAATTTAGAATACGAATTCATGAAACACTTTTTTATAGAGTTGCCCAGGTCTGAAATCAGAGTCTGAATTCTTGTGTGACACCACTGAAGCAGAATGATAACTCCATAATCATTGCCAAAGCAATTTACGGTATTTTTACTGTGAAAACAATGGATGATTTTTGGAAACCAAGGATCAGAAATAATTTTGTTAGACTTGGACAATTAACAGGGACTGAGCTGCCTTATCAACACACATGGAAGCAAACAGAATATTTCACCGGGAAGAACAGCTGTTGTAAACCGAGGGAGAAGCACCATACCTACACAGGAAGAGAAGAAGGGGTATCATTTCTTGTGGCTCACTCACTGTTGTGCCTTAACAGGCTTGTGCAGAAGTGAGAGTCAAAATCAACCAAAACAAAAGTAGGACATTTCCAAGTGGTTTTGAACAGACTAGCTTTAGAGAAGAGAGGGTATCAAATTCAAGGTGTGAATGTTTTGTTGCCTCCTTGACTGTCAGAACTGAAAGATAGATCTATTTCACACCATGCTTCCCTCCCTGCTGTGTTAAAAGAAATCTGTCAGCTAAAGAACTGATTAATTCCTTCAACCACTGGTTAGTCAGCTGAAAATAATCTGCTAGAGCCTATTTTGTTGCCATTTCTGAAGTTATTGACAGGCAATATTGAGCTTGATGAGTGATAAAAAGTTCAGGACATTATGTAGCTCATAAAATTACTGTATTAATAGATAATGTATTGGTGCAAAACAAATATTAGTCTCAAGGCAAGGTGTGGTTTTCCTAATGTTTGCCCTCATCTGCAGACTACCCTAACTCTTGCTTTTCATTCTCACTTTTCTTGCCTCAGGAAACCAGATATTTCTGTAGGAAAAAAAAAAAAAAGTTAGAAACAGCTTCTGAGCAACTGATATAAATGAATTCCATTATCAAGTTTATGTACCAAAAGGAGTAGGAACTTCTGTTGCACAGAGAATGCCTATTCCAGGATATGCTGTGCAAAGTTAGATGTGGTGATCACTGCAGAGTAAACCTGCTGTGCCCAGTGTAACAAATGAATGCTGGACAAGAACCGTGAATTTGAACATTTGATGAGGAACTGGATTATCAGCACCCAAAGGTCTCCCAGAGTTCTTGGAAAGCCACTGTTAATCTCTTATCATATCAATTGTTATGTGTGTCCTAGTAATGACTTGCAAACTTGTGCCCAATAAAAACTGCTTATGAATAAGATCTTTGCAGTGAGTATTTGGAAGAAGAAAATAGTATTTAAAGTTATATTATTGAAGTATTAATATAAGACAGTATTCATTTTACTTAGCCATTGAAAAGTTAGTTCTCCAAACAAAATTAAATTTCTTCCATAAGATCCTACAAATACCAAAAAAGATACCATGTTTTCATCAAGAAACACTTATGTCACATTTAAAAATGGCCATATTTTCTTCAGTTTCTTCTTTAAAATAAGGCTCTCTTTTTGACAAATAGGATGGAAAGTTTATATTATATGTAATGATGATAAGATATATGTATAATCAAATATAAAGGCATCATAAATCAGAGCATAATTAACACTTCTAAACTGTCATTTACTGGCATCTGCTGTATTTAATTCAAGTTCTCAAATCAGATGTCTTCAAAGAAGAACCTCTCAAATTTATCATCTCCCCCATGACAACTGAAATTTCTCAAAATATAGAAACCTGCAGCCCAGAGCTGTGGTGCTGAGTAGTTGATTGCTCAGCCTATATGGCTTCAGACATGAGCACTGTGGGACTGGAGATGCTGGCAGATAACAGAATGACAGAAAGACAGGTTGAAAAGCACCTCTGGACTTGAGCTAGTCCAACCATGCTGCTCAAAGCAAGGTCAAAGCACATTGTTCAGAATGATGTCCAGTCAGGTTTCCAGGATCTTGAAGGGTGAAGACTCCACAATCTCTCTAAACATCATGGTGCAGTGTTTGACAACCCTCACAGAAAAAAAATTCTTTTTTTCCTGTGCTTAAATGGAATTTCCTGTGTTTCAGTTTGTGAAATATACATTCTCCTGTCTTTTGACAGGATGCCACTGAGAAAAGTCCAGCTTGCTAATCTTTTCTCTCCCATCAGGTATTTTTACATGTGCATAAGACCTTTGGGAGCATCCTCTTCTTCAGGCTGAACAGTTACAGCTGTGTCCACTTCTCTTCATATGTCAGATGCTGCTGTCCCTTAATCATTTTAGCAACCCTTTGCTGTACTTGCTGCAGTAAGTCCATGTCTTCCTCTTGTACTAAGGAGCCCAGATTTGGGCCCAGAACTTCAGACGTACTTCACCAGTGCTGAGTAAAAGGGAAGCATTGCCTCCCTCAGTCTACTGGTTGTGCTGTTCCTAATGCAGGCTGTATAATGTTTATTGTAGCCTATATGATACTATTTACATTTATCACTGACACTAGAAAAAGCGTTTTTGAACTGTGCAGCGCTTCAGTTAGTCCATTTGGCTGTAGTGCTGTGTTCATGTAGGTTTTTACTTCTGAATTCAATCTGGTCAACCAGAGTCCTCATGGATTCCCTGGCTCAGTTCACCTCTAATTGGTGGGGTTTTGAACCCAGGAGTGATGTGGCTATGCTGTGCATCTATTTTCAAGGCATGGGAAAACTAAGTTTTTGCCTTAACTATAATGCTTGGCTTTGTAGCTTTCTTTTTTTTTTATTTTTTTTTTGCATCATGTTTCTTGTTTGTAATTGTAGTTTCTACTCCACTCCATAGTTTCACATTTTCCGTATTGTGGTGCAATGACATTTGTTGGAGTCTTGCATGAGAAACACATTGCCTTTCCACTCCAGTGCAGAGGACGGGCACATAACACAGAAAGGTGACAGTCATCTGATCCATGGCACTAGTAATGAAGTTGGGTTTTACAGAACAAGAAATGACAGTAATTCCTGGATGCAAATGAAAATTTGAAAACCTAAAAATAAATTGTTTCATACATTGCATCTTTTTAAGAGCCTTCTAAGAACAATCTAATTGCCAAAATGTGATGCCAACTGAAAAGTTACTTTTGTCTGAACTGAGATTAACTGTGGGTTTTGGATACCTCTGCCAAGTGGTTAGTATTCTTTTATTGATTCACTTGTTCTTGCTATAGGATGTTGAAAACACTGGAAAATATACTATTACTGATGTGTTTAAAGGCATCTAATGGACTTCCTACTAAATTACATCAAATTCAGAGGTTTCAGTGATTTATCCACATGTACCTCAATTTGTCCCTTTCTGGACAATGTTAAATCATCTCAGTTAGAAATCACTTATCCTTAAGGCTCATAAATACCTTCCTCAGGAACGTGTCTTATGCTGTTTGGAAATATATCACATTTCAAAAGGGTACTAATATTAAATGTTTTACCTTTACTCTTTTCCACTGAAAGACTTCTTTTCAAATGTCCTAGTCTCACTATTACTCAGCCATGGTCAGTCAGATCTGAGTATTTATCAGGAGTAATGACTACTTTATCAAAGAATGTTTTGTGCAGAGTTTCAAGTCTGCCTTAAAGAAGGGTTTTGTTTCAATGAATGAATAAAAAGCACAGGTTCCCTATTCTTTCATATACCTCTTACACCTCCAAGCAAGCTGTCCTGGAACACAACCTTTCAAAGGATCAAAAGGATTTTTGTTGCTTTTGCAAGTTTTCTTGTTAAACTGCTGTTTCCTCGAGGGCAGACTAGATTACTATGTGTGCTCTGACAGTATGTCTGCATCTTGTAGAGAAATACAATTTTGTGAAGATCTCGTGGTGAATTACCATGGAGAGTCACAGAAATGTTAGAAAAGTTCTAACAACAGTGACAGATAAACAAGATTCTCAGCTTTCATCTTTGTTGGAAGATACAGACAGTCAGACTTCCTGTGGAAACATCTTCCTGCCAGTTGGAAGGAAACATCTTCCTGCCATATGCTTTCTTGCCCAATATTTCAACAGTTGAAAGATGGTTGTAATGCTTGTTTTTACTGACCAACGATTAATACCTATTTTTAGACAAGGAAGCAGTGATACTTGGCCAGAGGTTAAATTTATTTCATTTATTCATATTTCATATTGAGGAAACTCTCAACTTGAAATACAAATTCCAACTTGGGTAGTTCAAAACTCTTTGCATCCTCCTCTAATTTAAATTGTTATGGCATCCTTCCTGTCCTGGGTGAGTTGTTATGAAATCTTTGTCCTGTGTTGTACTAAACATTGGCTATGCCTATAATGTGTGATCTGGAATAAATTTTCAGCTCCGTGCTGCAGGTGTGTTCTCTGACAACGCCCTTACTTTGTCATGGATGAGCTCTGCAAATGCATTCTTTCCCATTGTGCCTTGATT